CCAGCCAACACCCCCCCCCAGCGGACGTGGTGTGAGGTGATGTGTGGGGGAGGATGAGAAACCCCACATCAAAATACCTCAGGGATGGGGAGAAACACTGGAGTACAGGTAGTCCCAGTTTAAGAATGAGTTCTGTTCCCAAGGTCTGTCCTTAAATTGAATTTGTATGTAAGCCAGATGGTATTGTATAATACTGTATTTGTAGTATTGTGTAATGAACTCAAACCATTGTGGACTTAACTGGAATCATTGTATATTTAAGTCAAATTTTGCAACATTAGGCTCCGTTCTTAAGTATGGGTCATCCTTAAACTGGGCGTTCTTAACCCAGGGACTACCTGTATACTGTCTGGCCCTTCTGCTTCTTTCTGTTCTTCAATGGTTTTTTTTCTGGTAAGACAATAAGAAAAGCTTCTCTGAGCTGTTCTTAGTGTTAAACCTTCCAAGCACTTCTGAATCAGTTTCCATGAAAACCAGAAATCCTAGCAAAATTGCTTTCTTTTAAACTCCAGAAAAAAAGAGACCCACTTATGGATGCAAACTGAGCCTCTGCAATGGTGCCCCGATGGACTAATGAATAAGCAGAACAGTTTGTTAATCAGTGACAATTTGAGCAAGCAAGAGTGAATTTATACGTTACAACATAGCTTGATGTTCTTTAATTGCAGGGAAATATGTGTATGTCCATTTTATTTTCCTTCTCTGTTTGGTTAGTTTGCTTTTGGGCTAAAGGCAACAAAGGCTAGTTTTAATTCTGCTTTTGCCTGCAATGCAGAAGTGCAGTTCAAACGGTGTAGGGAAGTTGTTTACCTTTGCCTGGCTTCTCTCAAGGCCAGTGGGAAGGTCTGAACAAGTCGTTGGTGCCAAGATTTCTGCCTCGGATCCTGGTTTATCGGAGAAGCCAAAATCTCCCTTCTGAAGCAGTTCATTGTTCTGTCTCCTTTTGTGCTGCCAATGATGCAATCGGAGGCTTGTGTAAGGGATTTGCTGTTGTGGGGAGGGCGACATCATTCAGCGATTTCATCGCTCATGTGATTGTGATGAGAAAGCAGGCAAAAGGTACGGCAGAGGAGGGGAAAAATAACTTGCATTTCTGCTTCCTACTACTAAGGGTTAGGATCAGTTAATGGGGCCAAAGCTATAGGACTCCTGAGTAGCAGTTTTCAAGTAAAAAGCAGTTTGGAAAAAAAGCGTCAAATTCCCTTATCCCTGGTCATATGTTTTGTGGGCTTGGCACCTTATTTTCTGGTCTGAGTCCCAAGGTCTAGAACATTTAAAAGGGGAATGAACCCAGGATTGTATGCAGTCAAAGTGGAGGCTTAGTTTACCAGCCAACATTAGATAAGAACAGATTTCTCTAAATCGATGTGGTCTCTTTTGCCTATTGACAGAACTCCCCAATTATATGGTCAGCCAGGGGACGGTGAACTTGGTGCTGCTCAGATGGTTTGACCCATATTTCCCATAATCTCTTGCCGTTGGCACTGCGGGCGGGAACAGATGGGAGCTGAGCTTCAAACACTTGGAAGGGAAAATGCTGTCTTCCCCACTGCTAAGCCCTGATGTGACTTGTTTTAGATCAGTGTTTTTCAACCGTGGCAGCTTGAAGATGGGTGGACTTCAACTCCCAGAATTCCCCAGCCAGCCTTGCTGGCTGGGGAATTCTGGGAGTTGAAGTCCACCCATCTTCAAGCTGCCACGGTTGAAAAACACTGTTTTAGAGTATGGCTTGACCCTGGCCATTGTAGTTTGGTAAACCTAAGCTTTGTGTGTGTGGGGGATAATAGCATATTGTAGTTGATTTAAACTTACTGCAATGTGTGACCCAGATCACAGTTTACAGACTTCAATAAAACAGTTGTGGAGCCTTTTCCAACCTGGTGCCCTCCAGGTGCATCTTGGGGCTGCAGCTCTTTGAATTCCCAGCCTGAATGGCCCTCTGTCCCAATACATCTGGTAAACTGCAACCATGTGTGCTTAAGGTCTTTAAAGAGGGAAGGTATGATTTGTAAATTGTTTACCCCTCGAGCTATAACTTCAGGTTCTTTGTGACCTGCTCATTTCTGAACGTAGTCTGTGCTAAGCCTCTACCGTTGCTTAAGAAATCCTGGGTTGGATTGGGTAGGAATTCTCAATCCAGATTTTCCTGAAAAATCTGGGAAAATGTGGCTAGGATTTTACTACTAATTTATCTTTTCTGCCTGAGTCTTTAAAAGCAGGCATCTGGAAGAAGGAGGTGGGTTGGATCCAATATATGTTGCTGTCTCATGGGAAGTAATTTCTAAAGTCCCTGAGCTCTAATTGAGATGAAAACAGGGACTAAGTTGGACTTCTTTTGTTCTCTGACAGTAACTTCAACTTTAAGGGCAATGTAAAATCCTCACTGGGGGGACTGTAGGAGGAGAGCTGTGTTAATCTATAGTAGATCAAAATCTGACTAACCCATTTTATTTAGAGGGATAAGCTTGCAAGCTGCTGTTCACCTCATCAGATCAGTGGCTTAACTGATGTTGGATTTAAATTGGCAGGGGGAGTGTTACACAGCTGCATGTCATGCGTGAGACAGATTACAAGCACCTTATGGATTAACAGTTATACTGGGTTAACATCTAATTATGCTTGTTGAGACCTTCAGAGATAGCTTTGTTAATCTAGGGCAGTGTTTCTTTACGGTGGCATCTGGGAATTCTGGGGTTTGAAGTCCACACATCTTAATGTTGCCACAATTGAGAAACACTGGTCCAGGATAGCAAAAAATCAGGAGTCTGGTACCGTAGCACCTCTCCAGATTAACATATTTTATTAAAAAGCTTAAGGCAGGAAGCACATGCCTTTTAATAAAATTTGTTAGCCGGTGCTACCAGATTCCTCCTTATTTGGAGATGTCCTGAAACCTGTGATGTTTCTGTTTGCTGAGAGGTTAATAAGATTAATAATTTATTTATTAAAAAGATTAATAATTATAATCTGCATAACCTCCCTCTCTTTCCCATCTGCCACCCCCCAGCCTCAACCCAATGTAAATCCTACATCAGTTTAGCTCCTCCATGCATCTGATAAAGGGAGCC